TTCTAATCGTGAAACTATGTTTATTTGAACGCATATTTTGAGAACCTTTAGTTCATTATAAGATTATTTTTTAAAACAAGTTTTCCCATTAATTAAAGAGCCTCATTGGTAAGCCATGGCGTAGGCCATAATACGTGTATACAAAATGTTTGCGAGAAGCGGGAAGTGCTGTGAATATCCCATCTTCCGAGTGACGGAGATTTACAGTATTTTGTATAGATTTCTGAAGAAAAGTTGTTTGTTTTTGTTTTTATCTGGCCTCAACTGTTGTTGACAAAGATGATTAATTAAGACACATTGATACAAACTGCTGGACAAAGTATGGGGACATTGATAGACCCATTAAAAAGGTATCTGAAGATATGCTGCGCCCCGAGTTTTTGACCACACTATAGCTTGAATTTAAGAAATTTCAACCTTTTTAAAGCCTATTTCTCAAGATTTCATTTTGTTATATGGTGTACCATCTTGGACCACACATCTCTCAATGGTCCTTGAAGAAAAAATATATGACTGGATTTACGGGGAAATAAAAGAGTCGCGCGCGCGTTTTCTTAATGATAAAGTCTAGTCTCCAAAGCCACTTTGAGAATTGTGAAGCTATGAAGATAGCCAGAAATCTCTCGGTCATTTCGGTATCATAGCCGTAGTACTAAATTGCAAGTTGCAAATGTGGGTGCAATACATTGAATGTCAATATTTATGCTCCAATTCTAAGCAAAATCAGACATGCCCGCATGCTAATTTGAGTATGTACACAAATATATTCCTGAAAAGATTCAATTTATATGTCAAATGTGTCCATATTATTACACACTGAAAATGCTACTTCAGTTTTGTTAGTATTACCAATTCAAATCTTAGCTGTTTAATCGGTGTTGCAAATACATTTCCTGAAAAATGTCGAAAGATGTAAGTAATAATCACTGAATCTACAACACATAAATTAAAATCAGTGTAGCTTAACGTAAGATGTAAGATATGCCAATGCTTGCTTTTTCCTAGAATATTGGATAGAATACACCAATGTACCTACATTTTATTTAAAAAATTCAAATTTCTCCTTAATCCTCTTTTTCGCGGGATGGTGCGTTGCTTCTTGTGGTTTTTTTTCTTGTTTTGTTTGGGGTTTTATTTTGTGTGTGG